GGGGGGGGGGGGAAGAGTTTTGCATGACACAAGCAATTTGACAAAGCTCGAAAATCCAAGGTCTGAACTGTCCCCTGTATCCTATTTAATATCCCACAGGCATGGAAGAAAATACACTGGATATTGAAAAGAAACTGGGGTTGTGGGGTTGTTGTTTTTTTGGAAACTCTTGTCTTCCAGCTCCTAGAAACACGGGCAGGTTTCCCTTTCCCCCCTGTTTACTCAGAAGTAAGCCCCGCTGAGTTCAAAGGGATTTACTCCCAAGTAAGTGCTCAGCCTCCCCTGGAAACCAGTCGCCGTGATTTCCAGGCAACTTTGCTTCTAAACAGGAATCTCTCCTCTTCTCACCCCCACACCACCACCCCGGTCTTTCCATAACACCCCCCCCCTCCAGGACATAGACCATCTCTTACCGCCTCTGAACTGGTTGAAAAGCGGTCTTTAATAACCTTTTCTCTACTTCCAAGGCACTAGATCGATCTAAAAATTAAAAAAAAAAAGAAAAGAAAAGGGGGGAAAGTTCCTTAAGTTTTTTAAAAAATCCTTTAGATTTGCTTTGCAAGAGTCCCTGAAATTTAAATCCCTTTTAAGATTTTCGACTCATTCAAATGCAAGGTCCGCGCTCCTGCGAAGCCCCCTCCTGTCCCGAAAGCGAAGACCGGGTTCGGGGGGCAGAATTTCCCAGTTATTTCTTGCAAGCTTCGTCATAGCCTATGAAATAAATAAAAATTCTTCTCAGCGCAACCTTTAAACAATATCTGCTGTATAAAGCAATCAAAGTATGTGTCCAGAGATTTTCCAGGCAAGATTACGTTTAGAGAAAAAAAAATCAAAAGAAGGATACAGAAGGATCCTTGTCACTGTCAAGGAAATGTGCTGGCGGAAAAAAGGGGGGGGGGGGGGGGAGAAACCACTTGATTTTTTTTTTAGAAGCGAAACGATGTTGTCATTCAAACGCTTTCCTCCCGGAGGGGCCCAGAAAGAACCGTTTCAGGGGCCCCATTTCCTTACCGACCGCTTCTTTACAAATAAAATAAAAATAAAATAAGAAATAGCAAGAGATCCCGGAGTAGGAGTCTCGGCCCAGAAAGGGACCAGTTCTAGCAACAATGGTGTGTGTGTGTGTGTGTGTTTGGGGTGTGTGTGCCAGAGTGGGGAAACTGACCCCCCCCCGGGGGTTGTACGGAACGGCTTCGGGAAAGAGAGGGGTCCAGAGACTGCAACACCCCGCGTTTTCCTGCCGCCCCTTCGGCCTCCCCCGACGGGCTCGCTGGGTTTCAAACTCTGCATTTCCTCTTCTCCTTTCCTTCTCTCTCTCTCCCCCCCAAACCCCATACTTGACTCTCAGGGACTCCCCGTCTCTACTTTTTCTCCCCGTCTCTACCCCCCCGTCGTTTCGAGAGATGTGCAAACCCCTCGGAGACCTTCGACTCCGGCGCAAAGGCGCCAGGGATCGCAGACCCACCCCCCGATTTCCAGGCGCGCCCCAATCCTTGACGGCAGCGTCAATGCGTGGCGAGGGATCGGTCTCCTAAGGAAGGGCGCAGTTGATTCCCGGGGGCTGGGGGGCAAGGGAGGCGGGGGGACGCCCCGTCGACGGCTCCCCCGGGGTGAGGAAAGGCGATGGCCCTTTTTGTTGCATCAGCCCCGTGCTTAGAAGGGTGGGAGGGTGTCTCCGGGGGCTGGAGTCTCCCTCCCCCCCTTCCCCAGGCCCCCTGCGAGCCCCCTTCCCTTCCCCACTCTCTCGGCTCCCCTCCCTCCCTCCCTCGGCCTCCAGTGGTTACCTGTTCCCGAGGCTTCCGAGCTCTGCTGCTGCTGCGCTTGGTCCGCCGGCCTGGAGAACGCCGCGATGGCCGCCGCGTTGGTCGGGCCCGCGCCGGGGTTGGCCCCCCCGAGTCCCAAGAGGTGGGGAGAGTTCAGCAAGGTGAGCGGGTGCGGGTGCGGGTGCGGGTGCGAGAAGGCCCGGCCCGACCAGCCGGCGAACTTGCCCAGGGGGCAGGTGGCGACGAGTCTGTGCGCAGGGCCGGCGGTTGGCGACGGGTGGGCGCCCGCCACCAGCTGCAAGCTCGGGGGGGCGGCCGCCGCCGGCGGGGGGGCCCC